GGTCTTGAACCCGTGGGCTCAGGCAATCCACTAACCTCAGCCTCCCAAAGGTGCAGGATTACAGGCTGAGCCACCAAGCCCGGCCAAAAAATACCCTTTTAACACTAAAAAATAATACTTTATTTGTGAAAGTATGAACTCATCCTTGAAAGTATGAATTATTTAAAAAATACAGCCAGGCATTTTGGCTCAAGCCTGCAATTTCAGCACTTGGGGAGTCTGAGGTTAGAGGATTGCCTGAGCCCAGGGGTTCGAGACCAGCCTGGGCAACTTGGTGAGACCTCATCACTACAATAAAAAAATTAGCCCGGCATGGCAGCATGCTCCTGTACTTCTGGCTACTTGAGAGGCTGAGGTGAAAGGATCACTGGAACCCAGCAGGTCGACGCTGGGGTGGGCATGAGCATTCCACTGCACTCTAGCCTGGGCAATGGAGTGAGATTCAATTTTTTTAAAAAATGCAGCTGCAAGACTATAAATAATCCTTCACCCCAGATGACCCCTGTAGACTTTAATCTAACAAAAATCATTGTAAAATTGAGGTATGCAATTGAGGTGGAGGGTCCCCTTCTATGGCCCATGAAACCCAGTTTCTCACCACAAAACCATCCAGTCTTCACAATGGTTGCCTTCCAGACGCATTTAATATACAACAGTCTGGGAATCACAAAAGGTCACACTTCAGAGGGGGAAAGAGGATGGCCCTTAAAAGACAGAAACCCAGGACCCCTCATGCTGGACCCTCCTGGGGCCACACCCCATCTCAGCACGGCCCCACCCTCTTCCTCCTCCACTTCTTGGCGTTTCCTTCCAGGCTCTGACTCTCTGCTTCCCTGGCCAGCCTGTGCGCCCTCAAGGCCTGGGCCAGTCTCCGCCTGGCTTTCTTCACTCTGCGGGCCTGTCTCCGGATGTCTGCATCCGTCACCTCTTGGCTGGAGGGGGGAGTTGACAGACGATGTCCCACTCTGGGGGTCCTTGCTGCCTTAGCTGACCTCTGGCCAGGGCTGGGCTGAGGGTGGCTTTGCAGGCCCTCAGCTCCAGCTTCGTCGAGGAATCCCCCTGTAATTCCCGGTGAAACTACCTTCAAGATATTTTCTAAAGTCAGTAGGGTTGAAGCTTCTCCTTGGCTGCCGTAGGGCTGGAGGCCCTGCAGCCTCCTGAAGGCCCAGCATTGCGGGAGCGTCCCCAAGCCCTCCAGCCCTTGCATGTCCATGACAGCATTGGCAGGATGGGCTCTTATTATGGTCACCGGCCTCTGGAATATGCAACTTGTCAGCCTCACAGGGAGGACAGAACGGGCAGCACGCCTCCGCCTGGCTTTGCCCATTTGCATTTGCCGTTTCTTCTGCAAAGCCAGGGGCATCGGATTACTCTGGAGCCTCCCCTGTAACAAGAGAGCATGGGACATTTCAGCCAAATGGAGGATGGAGGCCATCAGCTGTGGAGGATTCTCAGCTCAGCCAAGACTTCCCACTGGCCCCTCCCTGGGGACATATGTCTCCCATGGAGCTGTGCATCACAGTCATCCGGAAAGCTTCCTGAGACTCAGCTTTCTGGACCTGAACTCAAGAAGGTCTGGGGTGAGGCCTAAGAACCTACATTTCTCTGTGTCCCCAAATGTTACTGCAGCTATAGGCTCCACACATGGAGACTAGATCTCGAGTCCTCCTCCAGCTGCTGGAGTCGAGAACTGAGCTCCAGACATGGCCCAGTCCTGGACCAGTTCCTTCCTCCAGCCTCTTTTGGATGTCACACTCTTCTTCCCATCATTGTCAACTGTACATGCACTGGTGTCTTCTAACTCACTGTCATGGGATGCAGGGTCCCAGCCTTCCCCTGTCTCTCAAGACCTGGGAGTTCTCTTTGTCTTTTTGCTGTAGGACACACCCTGGCCTCCTGGTCCCCCAGGAAACCATACACCCTTCAGTCCTAAAATACTCCACAGCGGATCCCATCTCCACCTAAACCTCTCATGCTCATGAATAAAAACCTCAGAAACACCATTGGTGAAATACTGTAAGAGGTGGTTAATTACTGTCTAAGATTTGAAATCCTCTCTAGATCTAATCCAATTGGGAGACGCCTGTCCCATTAAGCTGTTTAAAATGCAAACCCAATCAGTGTTTCATTTTGAAACCTACATTTCCCTAATTCTTTCATTTCTGTTGTCCTGGCATATATACTAATCTCACCCCTTTTATGACTCAAGACAAGATAAATTAATGAATGAATTTCTAATATAATGTGAGATATAGTTAAGTTCTCTGATGAACAAGGAAGAAAGAGAAAGTTGAGAGACTTAGAGGAAAGAGTGATGTACGGAGGGAGAGAAGAGAAAGAAATTCACTACAATTAATAGTGAGGTGAGTTTAGGCAAGGATTAACTTATATTTTCCCAGAGAACCACAATTTAAAAAAAAGAAAAAGAAAGAACCAGGCATGTTTTGGTCCAATTAACTCCACCTTCCCTGTGCTAAATAAATAGAGTAAGCAATGTGCAACACTGTCACAAAGCAAACAGAAATAATTTAGAGAATGCAAACAAGCAAGAAAGACTGGCAGCTGACATTTGACATGAAATTAGATGGACATCCATGGAGCATCACTGATACAGGTTTTGGATAGAGCTTTCTGGATATAGATTCTCCTAAGAGGGAGACAATTTGAATGATGCAGAGCCAAATAATATTAGTGATGTTGATTTAAAAAGAAAATCTGGCCTATTATCCCAAGACAGCTTCATGTACAAAAAAGTAGACCTTTTTGAATATTACTCAACAAATATGAGCACCTAGGAAATGGCTTTTCATTAGAGATTCTCTTGTTTTACGAACAACTCTTTGCTAACTTAAAGAGGTTTGGCAGAAGAAATAAGTACAAACATGCACCCTCTTGTAGTCTGTATGGACCCTAAACTCACCAGGAGAGGCTGGCTTGGAAAAGAGGTAGACGCAGGTTCCCCCATGGCTGTGGAGCTTGTCCGGCTGACCCCACACCAGAGATGCAGACAGCCCGTGGCTAGCTGGGAAATGTGGTGACTTCTGCATCTGGGTCCCCTTTTTATAGAGGAAGGGAGGGGATAACACAATCATCGGATAGTCCACAGGACACGCCCTATCTCCCACCCATGGGGTTTGAGGGATTCCTAAATCTTTGTACAGAAACAAAACAATGTGGGGTGTAGACACTGTCAGATACTGTTGGTAGAAAGAAAATTTAATACATTTGTGTGTTGGGGGTGGTATTGGCAGTTAACATCAGAATTTTAGATATGATTTAGTCATGAACCCTATATAGTTTGATATACTTGATTACTTTAACTCCCTCCCCCGAAATGCTAAAACCTTAGGAAACTTTTAATTCAACTTTTACCTTTCCAGATTCTTGTGTTACTATTGTCATGTATATTAATTCTGCATTCATTTTACTTTCTGGGAGACATTTCTGATACGACTCCATAAAACAATATACATGAACATTTATCTGTATATTATCTTCTGATTCTCTTCACTCCTTCTTTTTCCAGTTTTCAATCTGTGCTTATTTTCCTTTAGACTTGAAAATTCACTATAGTTTTTTTTTAATCTGCAATTAAGAACTTAAAGTAAAATGAGGTTGAATCTGGCAAAAACAATAAAGTTCCAAAATTTGCTGTTTTCAACGAAATGTTTTCATTTTCACCTTTATGAAAGGATTTTTATTTGAAGGCAATATTGCTGATGGGTATAGATTTCTGGGTTGGCAGATTTCTTTTAGTACTTAAAAAATGGTGCTCCATTGATGTCCATCTCATTTTCTTTGTGTTGAATTGTCAGCTGACATTCTTTTTCTTGCTTGTTTAGCTTCTGCATTTTCTAAAATCTCTCTCTCTCTCTCTTTCTCTCTTTCTCCTTCTCCTTTTTCTTCTTTTTGTTTGTAGACCACAGTGTAGTTCATTATTGTTTCCTGTGTATTTACTTTGCCCAGGACATGTGGAGTTATCGAATCTCTGGGTTGACATCTTTCATCAGTTTGTAGTGTGCCCATGTGTTTT